TGACCATTGCTTCTGTGCAAGGCAAAAGGAGGAGCGACCATTGCTTCTGTGCAAGGCAAAAGGAGGAGAGCAAAGCTCAAAAAAGAAAGAAGTATGGTATGACACACCCAGTAAAGTAAGGAGGCAGATGGAAGAAGTATAGCAAGTATGGTATAGCAAAGGTAACTACATATAGTTTTAGAATATTTAGTAATATTTATAATAATAGAAACCAATAAATGACTAACATAACGAGAAGTAATTTTCAAGCTCATCCTTTTCATTTAGTATCACCATCACCTTGACCTATTTATACTTCTTTAGCTTTACTAACCTTAACAACTAGTGGAGTATCAACTATGCATGCTTTCCCATATGGAGGTCATTTTGCTTTGTTAGCTTTGGTTTTACTTATTTCTTCCATGTCTTTCTGATGACGGGATGTTATATCAGAGGGTAGAGCACAAAGCTTGTTTTCAAATGTCATATTGTCTAATTGCTCCGCTGTTCCGCTGCATGTTTCACCAGCGGATGAAATAAGCCCCTTAAAATAGCTAAGGCTATTCCCGAAGAAAAAATAAAAGATACTCTTGCGGAGTTTAGAAAAGAAAATGCTAATCTTTATTCAGATAAAAACCAATTTGCTTACTATTTAGCTGGCTTACTGGAGGGAGATGGTCATATATCTTTACCAGCCATTGGTAATACAGTATTAAATAGAGTATTAAATCCTCGGATAGTTTTTACTGGGCATGAAAATAATTTAGGTTTGTTTGCATACATTCAATCTGAATTAGGTGGTATTGGACGTTTTCAATCTACTAGTACCAGTAAAACTGTTCGTTATATTATAGGTGATATGAAAGGTATTATACTCTTTATTGAATATATTCATGGTAAACTTAGAACACCTAAAAATAAAAGATTTAATGATTTAATCTCTTTTATTAACACTAAGTATTCTTTACTTATACCAGAAAGTCAGCTTGATCTATCAAATTTAAAAGATAATAGCTGGTTCACAGGTTTTACGGATGCCGATGGACATTTCGGTGTAAAAATTACTGAAAGTAAACCTAAATCAGATACACGTAAAAGATCTGTTAGCGAGAATATTAGTCTTATATTTAGACTAGATCAACGTTCATTTGATAAATCTAATAGTCATTCTATGTTAAAGATTATGGCAAATTTAGCTTTATTTTTAGAATGTAATCTTAAAACATATAAAATAAAAACAGTAGATATATTATCTCTTAGTGTTTCATCTATAGATAAATTAGAGGCTATTATTATTTATTTTAATAAATATCCTCTATTAGGTAGAAAAAGAATAGATTTTAATTATTGAGAAAAGGTTTATTATATGATACTATCTAAAGAACATCTTACTGAAGAAGGTAGATTAAAAATTAGATGGATAGCATCTTGTATGAAAGATAATAAACTGTAATTTCATGTTACACCAACCGCAGATGAAATAAGCATACTCCTTTGCCTACTTCGTACGAAATTGTGAGCCCAGGGCTGGGTGGTGTCTTGCTCTTGCTCCTATGAAATAGCGCATGAGGAAGACATCCCACCCCTTTGCTAACGAAGTATGCACAACAACAAATTTATTTATTTCGTGAATAGCAGCTATGCTTTACTGGGATGTCTTCCTCATGCGCTATTTCATAGGAGCAAGAGCAAGACATCCCAGTAAGCGCACCCCCCAAGTATTTAGACAGTATTGACATGCCTAAACCTAGTGCCCTCTATAAACTTGACCATTTGCTGGGAAACCCTATAAATATAGGCAATCAGCAGGAAACCAAAAGGTTTATAATTACCTTAGTAGGATCCTCAGAGATTATACGTCAGGGATTAATACGTTATAAATATATAACCCATTAATTAAGATATAATCCGGCCTTGTAGTAATACAAGGAATTACGACTTATTTAGGTAATCATACTTTAGCAGTCCAAAGAGGTTTAAATATGGGTGTGGCTTTATTTATAGTATCTGAAGCATTATTCTTTTTAGCTATATTTTGAGCGTACTTTCATAGTGCATTAGCACCTACCGTAGAATTAGGTGCTCAATGACCACCTATGGGTATAGAAGCCATTAACCCGTTTGAGTTACCACTACTTAATACGGTTATATTATTATCATCTGGTAAACTAAAATGCCATAAATGGGAAAATGTCTTAAAAATTAGAAATATCTTGCAGTGGCTCATGCCATGGCCATACTTCGTAAGCCAAAGCAAGAAGTATGGCCAAAGCACAAAAATTAAAAGTATGAACTTTATATCGAATTTATCTACATTAAGTCTTGCCATGGCTCCAGTGGCTCTGCCAAAAAAGCACAAAAGAATACCTTCTCTAAAACGTATAGGTCCTCATAATCATGATGTTTTATGTTTAATAGTGGGATCTTTATTGGGTGATGGTCATATGGAAAGAGATCCTATAGGATCACGTCTGGCTTTTTGTGCTCCGCAAAAGAAAGGTGATCATATAGAGTATATTTTGTGATTACATAAATATTTATTACAACGTGGCTATTGTAAAGAAGATATACCTAAAATACATAGTAGAATAATAGAGGGTAAATTGAATTATACTTGTAGATTTAGAACTTTTACTTATAGTTCTTTTAATTGAATACATGATGGATTTTATCCTCAGTTATCCAGTGGAAAACCGGGTAAAAAAGTAATACCTAATTGAATAGAAGAATATCTATCTCCTTTAGCTTTGGCTATTTGAATTATGGATGACGGAGGGTGAATAAAGGACAGGGGTATAAAAATAGCTAGTAATTCTTTTAAATTAAAAGATATAAAACGTATAGTATCTATTTTAGAAAAAAAGTATAATTTAAAGGTAGCTATACACTCTGCGGGAGCTATAGATCAATATAATATCTATTTTCCAAAGAAGAATTTACCTACCTTAATACCTTTAGTATTACCCTACATGCACCCTTACTTTTTATATAAACTAAATATGGTTAGTCCAAATAAATCATAACAATATTTTTAATTTCAATACATTTTCTCATAGTCCTATTATAAAATGTGTAATTTTCATAAAAAAACATTTAACAAATGTAATAGAATATCATACCAAGGATATTGATAGTTAATTAACTATTGGCAATATGGATGAAAACGGTCAAAGACTAATATTAAAAAGTTAAGACCGTCGGCTTTATGAAAGGTCGCTACAGACTGGTTCATCTATGGGTGGCTGAAATGCTGCTTAATGTACAGTCGGAATCTCTTTCTTTTATTGCATAGGAAGAACACAAGATTTTGTATTAAATTTACCAAATATGGATAATTATCTAGGGTAAATATACCATTAATATAAAAAACAGGGGTAATAGAAAACAATAAAACTATTATTTTGAGATTTGGTTACAGTAACATACGCTCACCATGTGCGCCGTCTGAGTCCCAACATCAAATTTCAATATGATTTACGTATTTTCCAGTTTATACGTGCGATACGAGAGTTAGGTAAGGGGGAAAACCCTGAGTCGAACATAGCATCTCTCGAAAAAGACCCAAAGATCTGAAACCTATTAAGAAATTTGCAAGTCGTTATCGTTCTCTCTATGGTTAAAGCTATACTGCTTGAAGTTTATTATTCGTTGTCCCCTAGCGTAGGGAATAGTCTTGATAGGGATGGGACTAACAATCACCTCTGGATTCTGAATGGTGGAATCCAGGGATGGAAGTGATTTGCAAGTTATGTAAGAAACATAATAAAGAATAAGAGTAAACAACCTAAGGAGAGTAATTGAATGCTGAGGGCTACAACGGGATTGCCTAAGGGAAGTAATTCCTATGGTAACAGAGCAATCATAGTATCCGTCTGAGCTACAGGTAACACTTTAGCGAATCGGAGAAGGATTGCAGCGAATCCTACTTTAACGCTTCGTAGTTACAGCACAGGAAGTGCTGACGACCAAGAGTCGATTGTAATAAAAAAGCTTAAAGATTTACAAGAAAGATCTAGATTGAACCCTGAAAAAGTGATCGATAGAGAGATATACAAGATCCTATGTATGAAAGAAACCTTAGAAATGGCGTATCAGAGTCTGAAAAGTAAACCAGGTCAAATGACCCCGGGGGTAAACCCCGAAACATTGGACGGGATGTCTTCCATTGTTATCGAAACTATGGTAGATAAGCTTAAGTCGGAATCTTTCGAATTTCAACCAGGTAGAAGGGTGCAAATCCCAAAAGCCTCGGGAGGGACTAGACCTCTGACAGTGGCGCCTCCTAGAGATAAGCTTGTCCAAGAGGCCATGAGAATGGTCCTTGAAGCAGTTTACGAACCAATATTCTCGGATAACAGCCACGGTTTTAGACCCTCAAGAAGTTGCCATACTGCTCTTAAGATGGTGAAACAACAATTTCAACCTGTAAACTGAGTTATCGAGGGAGATATATCTAAATGTTTCGACAGTATTGATCATCATAAACTTATGGGATTAATAGAAGATAAAGTAAAGGACAGGAAATTTACTAGATTAATTTGAAAGAGTTTGAAAGCTGGTTACTTCGAATTCAGAAAATATTACAATAACCTAAGTGGAACTCCTCAAGGTTCCATTATAAGTCCATTATTAGCTAACATCTTTATGTCTCAACTAGATACATTCGTGGACGAATTGAAGACGGAATTCGACAGAGGAATAAAATCCAAAGTGACTCCAGAAGCCAATAAATTTCACTACCTGATAACGAAAGCAAAGAGAGAAAACAACATGGAAGAGGTAGTAAGACTAGCAAGGGAAAGCAGAAAGACGGCATGAGCTGACTTCGCAGACCCTGATTTCAAACGTCTTTCATATGTAAGATATGCAGACGACTGAGTGCTAGGTATCAAAGGAACACAGGAAGAAGCGGTGACTATATTCAATAAAATTGACCAGAAGCTGTCTGAAGTGGGTTTAACTTTAAGTAAAACCAAAACCAAGATAACAAATATAAACGAACAAGAAATAACATTCTTAGGAACTACTATATTTAGAGCTAGAAAAACTAGCTTCTCTAAAATGGCTCATACGGGATATCTGAAAAGAAACTCGAAAAAGTTAAGATTAGAGGCTCCCCTGACTCGGATATTGAAGAAGTTACATGAAACCGACTTTATGAAAGAAGGTAAAGCATCCCCCAAATTCATCTGATTAACCCTAGAACACCGTCAAATTCTGCATATGTATAATTCAGTGCTAAGAGGATATTTAAACTACTACAAATTTGCCCATAATTATGGTAAACTCGTAAGTACGATGGTATTCGTCTTAAAATCATCCTGCGCAAAGCTATTAGCTGCTAAATACTCTTTGGGTACAATGGCTAAGACATATAGAAAATTCGGACCCCAATTAACTGCCCCAAACAACTCGGAAAAGCCTGTAAAGACTAAAGAAGGAAAAACTAAAGAAACTAGTTTCTTAAATCCAAGCTACGCGATCACCATGAAATTCTTAACCAAGAATATGCCGGTCGTCGCTGCAATGTACGGATCTAAGTCACTGGCAACGTTAGATGGTTTGGTATGTAGTGCCTGTGGTTCGGACTACAGGGTGGAAATGCACCATGTGAGAGCCTTAAAAGATTTGAATCCCAAACTATCAGCCATCGATAAATTGATGGCAAGTAGAAAAAGGAAACAAATCGCTTTATGCAGAGAATGTCACATGAAGAAACATCATAATAAGGACAAAACAAATCCCGAATAGTAAAGTATTAGGAATCGTGGAGAGCCTAGTGATGCGAAAGTATCCCGCTGGGTTCGGGAAAGAGGCGCTTATAGCCTGTATAGGTTATGGCGTACTTAGTTCATTCTTTAATACAGGGAAACCGAGCCGGAGCATTAAATGGCTTAGTATCTACTGTGGTATTAGCTGTAATATTCACGGGTTTTCAGGGTATAGAATATACTGTATCTTCTTTTACTATAAGTGATGGTATTTTTGGTTCATGTTTTTATTTTGGTACTGGCTTTCATGGGTTAACAACTGTAGCCCCATTTATACTTATATATATTTTATTTAAAACAAACCTAATTTCTAATATTGAAAGTTATCTGCACTGCTCTAATGTTGAAATAGATAACAAGTTACTAATTACTATTCCTTCTTATAAAGATAAAGAAGCTTATACTTATTATTTAGAAAAAAAATTTTTAGAATGATTAGTTGGATTTACTGATGCTGAAGGTAATTTTAATATAAAAACTACTGCATTAACTGAAAATACATATAAAAATGTTCAGTTTACATTTCAAATAGGTCTACATAAAGATGAAGAATTAGTATTAAAATATATTATGAATACTTTAAAATGTGGACATATATCTAAATCAGAAAATAGAATAAATTATTTTGTAAATGATAGTAGTTCTTTATTACATGTAATATTACCTATATTTAATTATGTTAATCTTAATAGTTCAAAGTATCATCATTATTTAAAATTTAAAAAAGCCGTTAGTTTACTAACTGATAAAAAACATTTATCTGATAAAGGTAAGTTAGAAATAATTAAATTAAAAAAAGAAATGAGTGATATGTCAGATAAATGAGTACCAAGTTCTATTAGTAGTAAAATTAAAATTACTAAATTTTGATTGGCAGGATTTATTGATGGAGAAGGGTCTTTTTCAACTAATAAATTTGTACCTAGATTTAAATTAGAAAATCATATTAAGGAATTAGAATTATATCATAAAATTAAGGAATTCATTAGTGTAGGTAATATGTCATTTTCTGAAAGGATAGATAAAGTTAGTAGTAATCCTACTATAGTATTAGAAGTTAATAAAATAAAAGAACTTAAAGAAATATTAATACCATTAATATATGATAATGATACTATTCTTTTGAAAACTTTAAAATCTTCAGATTTTTCTTTATGATTAATTTTAATTAATATTTATTATGTAGGTTATCATACTATACCTGAAGGTAAATATATATTTAATGCTATAAAATTACACATAAACAAGTATAGAATAAGTACTAATTTATCTTTACTTGAAAATGTGGAACGTATTTCTATAAATGAAATAAATAATTTATTATCTAAACTTTATTTAATAGATAGTCCTTATATAATTAAACTGGGAGTTAGATATTATAGAAATAGTGATAAATTAGTCAGTGAAGCAGTAAATATTATGGTTACAGATAGTATTGGTAATAATACTAAGTATCTTAGTTTATCTGATTGTGCTAAAAATCTTAATATAGGAAGAAATAAAATTAAACTATGCTTAGATTCTGGTGAATCTTATAAAGGTTATAGCTTTGTTTTAAGTTAATATATATATTTTATGTTTGCAAATAGAGTGAATAGCAAGAAAGTCTTATTAAATATTAAGATAATTTGCTGCCAAGTATATATTGTTAGGCAATATATAAAGGTTCAACGACTAGCCAATAAATATTATGTTATTTTGATGGTGTGTTTTTTTTACAATGAAATTGTAAAAAAGTATAGCGCATGCATGCTGAGCCATGACTTTGTCAAAGCAAGCCAGGCCAAAATAAAAGAATGGCATTGTACTCTACATATGAAATATTAAACTTTTATTTTTTTTTTCTCCAACTAGGTTGGTAAATTAAGTTTANCCATGACTTTGTCAAAGCAAGCCAGGCCAAAATAAAAGAATGGCATTGTACTCTACATATGAAATATTAAACTTTTATTTTTTTTTTCTCCAACTAGGTTGGTAAATTAAGTTTAATTAAATTAATATGATTACATAGTCTAAACAATAATGTAAATTATTGAAATATTTGTACATGTTATGATAGGTACTGCTTTTATNTTTTTTTTTCTCCAACTAGGTTGGTAAATTAAGTTTAATTAAATTAATATGATTACATAGTCTAAACAATAATGTAAATTATTGAAATATTTGTACATGTTATGATAGGTACTGCTTTTATAGCCGTGGGTTTATGGCGTGTTCTGGCTTATCACTCAACTGAAAATCATCATTTGGGTCTAGAATCTGGTATATTATACTGACATTTTGTCGATGTGGTATGACTTTTTTTATATATTTCTATTTATTATTGAGGTTCATAAAATAAGTTTTTAATTCCCTTTATAATCAGGCTAAAAATAAAGTATAATAAAAAGTAATATTTACTAAGATATACTATCGATTAATTAATTATTAGTCGGTTATATTATTTCTTCTAATATTTTTTTTATTACTTCGTACGACGACGTAAGAATAGTATAAACTAGTAAATGAGATCTTAGTTTAATGGTAAAATACGGGACTTTTAATCTTTGTTATATGGGTTCGACCCCCATAGGTCTTAAAAGTATAGACTAGTATCCATGAATGGTATATAAGGGTTCAATTAGCGCTTGTGCCATACGATACTACTTGTGCTGGCTTGTGTGTCATACATACTTCTGCTTCGCTTTGCTTTACGTAGTATGCGACCATTGCTTCTGTGCAAGGCAAAAGGAGAGAATACATCCATGCATGTTTCTTTCTTGCTCCGGGGTCATACCGGACGAAGTAGGCTCCTCTCTCCTACTACTGGGATGTCTTAATCTAGGAAGACACTCCCAGTAAGGGCTCCATGCCATACTTCTTTGCTAACGAAGTATGCGACCTTCTGCGCTCTCCTCCTTTTGCCTTGCACAGAAGCAATGGTCAGGTCGCATGCATGCATGAGCTTCTTCCTCCTTTTGCCTTGCACAGAAGCAATGGTGAGGTCAGGTCGGCTCTCTCCTTTTGCCTTGCACAGAAGCAATGGTCACATACTTCGTTAGTAAAAAAGAAATAAGCGACCTTCTGTGCTGTACTTCGTCCGAAACATGCAAGGGGATGTCTTATCAAGGAAGACTGGCTGGGTGCTTGTGTAACATACTTCTGCTTCGCTTTGCTTTGCTTTACGTAGTATGCATGCATGATAACATCCCTTCTCATACATACTACGTAAAGCAAAGCGAAGCAGAAGTATGTTACACAAGCAAGCAGAAGTATGACAGACCCAGCCAGTAAGCAAAAAAAGCCAAAAAAAAAGCCACAGCAAGGCAAAAGAAGTATGGCATGACATCCCTCCCCTAGTAGGGGGGGGGGATGGAAACAGTCATAGTTTAATGGTAAAACTTTCGTCTTCCAAACGATCTTTGTCGGTTCAAATCCGACTGACTGTAAAATATGAAGGGTTAGTATCCTAATGGTAAGGATCTTTTTTGTCAAGAAAGAATATGTCGGTTCGAGCCCGATCTGGCCCGTCCATGCTTTGGCAGTGGCTTTGCCACTGCCGGGAGCGAAGAAGTAGGCCACTGCAATAAAAAAAGATATTTTAATAATTTAAATTAAAACCGGCGCTCTTTTTGGGATATGTGCTTTTGTTTTTAATTTTGCTTACTGGCTGGGTGCTTGCTT